GCCCAGGTTACTGCAGGCCTTCCTGGCTGCACGTGCGCAACTGCTGGCTTATGTTTTTTGTCCATAGTGGCCTCCAAGGCCTTCTCCACAGGGCTGCTCTCAGTGTGTTCTTCTCCCTTCTGTACGCATACCTAACATTGCCCCAACCCAAGTGCAACACTTTGCACCTGGCTTTGTTGAACCTTCAAATAGCATTTTGGGGGATGTGGTAACTAGATCAGAACTCATCACAGCATGTCAGCTATTAAAACTACTGCTGCTATAATCAGATAGCCCTGGTTGGGGCAGGGCTTCCAGCACACTGTCTGTGCTGGGCATGCTGTGTGTTCCCATATGCTGACAGACAGGTGTGTGCCTCAGTGCTTCGAGAAGTGAAACGCAGATTGGTGCCATCTGCAGCCATGTTATGCTGTTTGTCCTCCTTCTGGATCATTGCTTTGTTATTTAATTTGTAAAGACATGCTGCAGAACACCAGCTCAGTAGCACCACCAGAGGTCTGTGCTCACAGCTCTAACTGTGCAGAGCGATGCCTGCTCGCCTCTGGAAGCTTTTATTCGTCTCAAGGGGAATGGCAGGACTGAGCCCAACTCTAATTCGGGGCCGCAGCACCTTGCGTATGTGCGGAGCGCTATGGAAACAGAGCCCATTCTGAGCCAGCGCTCAGAACTGCTGCTTCACTGCTGTTTGGCTGTGAGATTGCTAAGGGATGCCGGTCAGCACAAGCCCACCTTACTAAGGTCTGTCTGAAAATGGCTCCTCGCCATTAGCCTCCCTATCCTCACAGCTCAGCCGGAGCTACGCTAGGGCGGCAGCTGCCCACAGCTGTTGGCTTCTGCAGTCACCGTGCTGATCAGCAGGGAAGGGAACAACGGGTCTCTCCGGCTGCTCCCTCCCGAATGGGTGTCAACACGGCCGCCGCCCGCCGAAAGGCCCCGACCCCACGCACGCACCCCCGCGCGTCGCCCACGGAGCCCACCGCCAACAAGATGGCGCCGCGCGTCAGACGGCGCTGCCCCTTTAAGCCCTCCGGTGGGGGCGTGGCGCCGGCGGCGCGGGGGCGTGGCGTCTCGCGAGAGGGGCGGGGCGACGTGGGCGGGGCGCGGCGCGGCGCGCTGAGGTCAGCGGCGAGCGGGCGCCGTCACAAAAGGAAGTGGCGGCGGCGGCCGTCAAGAGTGGGGAGGGGCGGGGGCCCGCGGGGCAGCGCGGCGGCAGCGGCAGCGGCAGCGGCAGCGGCAGCAGCAGCGGCAGCAGCAGCGGAGGAAGCGGAGGCAGCGGAGGCAGGGGTTGGAGCGGCGGCGGAGCGGCGGGGGCCGCGCCATGGCCCAGCAGCAGATGAGCAGCTCGCAGAAGGCGCTGATGCTGGAGCTGAAGTCGCTGCAGGAGGAGCCGGTGGAAGGCTTCCGCATCACCCTGGTGGACGAGTCCGACCTCTACAACTGGGAGGTGGCGATCTTCGGGCCCCCCAACACCCTCTACGAGGGTGGCTACTTCAAGGTAGGGCTCGGGCCTCGCCGCCGCCTTCCGGCCCTCCCGGCCCCGCGGCTCGGCGGCCGGGCCTGCACCGCGCGGCCTCGCTGTGGGCGGCGGGCGGGGGCCGGGCGGGAGGTCCCGGCTTTGCAGGGGCCCACCGGGCCCTGCCTGCGGCCCCCGGCGCCGGGTGGGCTCCTTCAGTGCTGTGCTTTGCGATTTACGTTCTTATCATCCTTCTCCCGAACTTCGGAGGGCGGCCACGAGGGTGTTTAGTTTGTGAAGGTACATACGCGCTTTCATTTGCTCTCTCAATTTTCCTGTTCATCTCCCCCTCCCCCCCCGCCAAAAAAAAAAACCAAAAACTTTTGTGGTGGTGGTTTCCCCTCTTGTGAGTAGAGAAAGAAACAAATCTGGCAGTTCCTTACCCACAAGGAACTGTAGGGAGAAGACCTGAAGAAGAATAGCGTGGTTTGCTGAAAAGAAACAAAAGCTTGGATGCTCACAGAAGATGAGCACTGGGCATATCCCTGTGCACGATGTGCCCGCTCGGTTTCTGACAAAACCATCTCACTCTCAGCTCTGATCTCCCAGGACTTACCGGTTTAGTTACTGGGTCTTCCCTCCCTTATGCTGGAAGAAAGCCTGGATGATGCCTTTGCTTAGTAAACATGCATTGTTGGTGCCTCTTGGCCTCTCTGGATTGAGGTTTAAGCACTCTACTCCATAAAAACAACGTAACCTGTAGCTTGGGGAATAATAGATTTGAGTCACATTCAATTTGGCCTCCTTGTTCGGAAGGAAGGGAACATTTTGGCACCAGGCTTTCCTTTTGTGATGAGTTGGCTGGCTTACTCATGTAGGTGTGATATGTGTATTCTTAGACTCACCTCCATTATTCCTCCTTCAGGAAGTCGCTGCAGTCCTGGGTCAGTAACTGGGTCATTTGTGCATCAGAATGGACGGGTGACCTCTCCCTGCACTTATATTACTCATCAATTTTTCAGAGAAATCACAAAGGGTCAAAATATTTGTTTGGTTAGGAGCTTCCTGGACCTTATGTCTGTAATCATTCTTGGAAAGTAAGCTGAAGCAGCCAGTGCAATAATCTGAGGATGTGCCTTCAGCAAGTGCAGACTTTGGCAAGACTGTCAGTGTTACCTTATCTCAGCGCTGTGACTGCAATGGCTTTCTGCTGTTTGTTGTCATTGAGCTGTAGTGCCTTTTGCCTTAATTCTTCTCTATAAACACTGATCCTATGATACTAATCTTGAGAATAGGAGATTGCTTGATGTTTTTATCTTCTCTGCAGCTCAGCAACTACCTTCAAGCAGCATGTTAAAGGCTGTTTTGTAGAGTTTATCTGTTTCTTTTTCTCTGCTTGATGGCTTTGTTTTGTTAGTGTGTGATCTCTCGTAATTCATCTTAAATTCTCAATTTCTGAAAAGATCAGTCTCAGCCCCTAATTCTGTCAGGAGAGTGAAGGGTTCTGTTGTTCCAGTTGTGAAGTTCTTTGCTTTCTTTGTGTTGGGCCACTAAGGCAAAGCTTTAAATAGGTTTGACTTGGCTTACTGAATATCTTGAAGTTTAGGATATCAGCTTTATTTGGTGGAGTTAGTTTCACGATGTATACTTACAATATATTTGAGGTGAATGGTAGTTCAAGAACAGTTTCTGATGGTTTTTTGAGGTTTCTTTGCTTGATGACTTGAATATCTCTCTTTCCTGTTTTATATTTCACATTTCTCAATATTAACTAAATAGAATTAGAAATAATAAAGTTCCATCCTGTAATTGTGTAGCAGTGAGTTTGAGTTTGGGAACTTTCTTCCATTTGCTTGAGGTGTGGTTTGAGGGAAAGCACAGAATCTTCTAGTTAAAATGAAAGGTAAATATTTTGGGGATTTTATGCATTTAAAGTGACTTCAATACAGAAAGTGTTAGTGACAGTTGATAGGGAATACAAATGCTTGGTTCACATTCATGAAGCTTTCACCTGCTTTGGTACCTTGTTTATCCTTGGAGAAATATGACCTTTCTCTATGGATTGTTGAGCTAGCTGAATTAACTGAAATGCAGAAAGTGCTCTCTCTGCACCTCTTTGAGAGGTGCTACTGCTTTTCAAAGCTGGTGTAACGTTTCAGCAGACTCTAGTTTCAGTTGCTAATCCAGGAATTGTACCATTTGATAAATTTGAGCAGAAAACATGTCTTGCTAATTTTTATAGGTAGTTTGTACTGGTTATCAGTACTTTAGTACAGACCATAATAAAATTAAAACTTTAGCATCTGGTTACATGAGCTTATATCACTGATGGCTGCGTTGGTCCTAGCTCTGCTGCAGGACCTCTCAGCTGTCTGGGACGGGCAGTGTTCCCAAGTGACCATTTGAGCAGAGCGTGGTGTGGAACAGAACAGTCCTGAACCACATGTCCCCATTACAGGACTAGCTGAAATGGGGACTGTGTCATGACCCCTGGGGTATTGGTGTGGCTTTCCTCTCTCCTGTTATCTCTTGCTTATTGAACTTAATACATAGCCATTCAGTATGACTGGGAATGTTTTGAGCAACGCTTTGCTTGAATTTGACACTGCTGTTGTCAAGGAAGCTGTTTGATTGCCTCCTCCACTTGCTGCCCCTTGTTCCTTGATGGCAAGGCAAAACTAGCTCATGATCAGTGATGCTAAATCCTCCTCCGGAGAGGTCCTGTGGTGGGAGCAAATATCTGACAAATCTCAGTTGCTGTCAACAAGGACCTGTTCTTGGGTTTTGACTGAAGTTTTTCCTTGTTCTGCCTCGGTAGGTTGCAGTTGGCTGTGAGTGCTTGACTACTGCATGTTAACTTCATATCTGGTTTACTGGGTTTGCTTAAGCAAAAGCTGGGTAGACCTCATGCATTTAAGATCATGATTTTCACACAGTTACTGAGCTCACAAAGTGTTCTGAGTTCACAGTTTACAGCAATGTGACTGTTTCTCTGGCTTCGCAGTTAACAGCCAGATTGCACTGTTATATGCAGAACTGCATGTATACAGTTTGTCCATGCATCTTTCAGCCATAGGCATCTTCAGTTGAAAGGGTTATTTACGATGTGGCTAGAGAACCTTTATTTGTTTTGTGTTTTTTTTCTTTTTTTGACATCAGCTGCTTAAATAGGTAGCAAGAGAAGAGAATGTTGTTAAGCTGAAATCTGGTGGTAGTAGGTGATGGTCTCTGGAGTGGTTTTGATAGACTTCACTAGTAGAGACTTGTGTATGGTGGAACTTTCCCTGTTTCATTCCCTCTTGTTCTTGTTTAAAAAAATAAAATAAAATAAAATACCAGTAATTTTATAGCTGAATCGTATTCTGCTTGCGCAGTGAGCAAACCTTCCAGGTAAAAAAACCAAAAACACATAGAAAACTTCATTATTAATTACATAGCACTGCCTAGAAGCACAGTCTGAGCAAGAAGGCTGTGTCAAGAAACATGTTTCTTGTAGAGCAAGAGTCAATATCAAAAACTCCTTCAGAGGTGATTTAGGCTGGGTAGATGAAAATGAGTACACACAACATGAAAGGAAACAAGTAAAATTTAAACTGTACTGTTAGGGTTGCTATTTGATAGTTCTTTACTTAAGGCAATTTGATTCACAAGGTATTTTTGCTGCTTGAAGGAGCAAGTCTTGACTCATAAGTTGGAGGGGGGGGGAAAAGCAAGCATCATGCTCAATTTTCTTAAGTAAAGTGGGAGCTAGAACATTATTTTCCCTGATTTTTTTTTTTTTAATATAACTCCTTAGCCATGGGCTCTTTTGATTCTGTATTGTTGGATCTCTGCTTCTTTCAATGGATTGGTTTTGAGTTCACAGCAATTTGCAATATGTGAAAAATTGTTTTTCAGAGCAGATCTATGTAGAACTAGAAGATACAAAGAATAAGCTTTGTGTTTAAAAGTTTGGCATCGTAGGTCACTTCTCAGAAAGCCTGGAATTGGGCAAATGAAAATTTTTTGAGTGCATGAGTATTCTCCTGGTTACATAACTCTAACTTCACAAAAATATTACTTCATGCCAGGGAAAAATTGTGTGGTACTGTCTGTACAAAAGCTGAGTTCTGTGAGCCTCCTAGAGAATTTCTCTTGGTGTAGTTAATTTTCAAATTTTGTTGCCTTTAGGTATCACTGATACTAATAAGCAGAGGTGTGCAACAAAAGAGAATGGACCTGCACATGAATAGTGTGGAATTGCTGCTGCAAATCTGAAGTGCTCCCTCTTCGAGCAAACTGTAGTAAGAGAAAAGCCAAGCCATTCTACAGGGAGGGAAGAAATATGGGTTTATCTCACTCATGCTAAGCACTATAATAATCCCTAACTCTAAGGCCAAAGAAGTATTTGTCTGGCTCCTGCTCTGCTGTTGCATGTAGATTTGTCTGATTACATCTATAGGCTGCATGACTCCTCCAGACTATAATTCACAGAGAGGCAGCTGCCTCTCCTCAGCAGGTAGTGGGCAAGGCAGTGGCAGTAGCCAGCTCCTACTTCTTTTCTAGGGCTTTTCTCTTCAAATTTGAGTTGTTCTGTACGTGATGAAGACAGACAATGGTTTGCTGTTCTGGTACTGCTTCAAAATACAAGTATGTGTACAATTTGACACTGCTGTATGGCAAGAGAAGAGCTGTGGCACACCCTACCTCTGCCATTAGACTTAAAAATGGAAAGCTTTCCATTTGGAAAGATTGAATGTATTGGCTTGCATATTTTTTTCCATTGTTTGGCTCTATTTCCATGAGTTTGCACAGAATGATCTTCGGAAAAGGTTTAAAAAAAAACAAAAACAAAACAACAATTTCTTGAACTGCCTCTTGAAGGTTTGTGCCAATTTGTTCAAGATATAGTATGAAACCATCGACATTCTTTGAATGACTGTACTATGAATGATTGGAAATATTTACTTTATAATGTTAGGAATGCATTCTTAATTTTTTTGTTCACCTAGTAAATCTTCATGTCGCAATGAATATCAAACTTCCAACATTTAGTCACCACT